GCGGGCCGCTCGCCGTCCTTAACGAGACCGTCCCCGCTGAGGGGAGGCCTGTGGCGGGTGCCGCTCTGCTCTTCTGAGGCCTGCTGGTTGTCATAAATAAAAATAAAAATTAATCAGAAAAAAAGAGGTATTGGAGGGAAAGATCCTCGGGGAAGAGGCAAAGAGAGCCGAGGTGTGAGGATAAGGGTGTTGACACGTTTAAAATTTCATTCATTTCACAGTTGTGCCACAAACATTTCTCCCACCAAAATCTAGCCATTTGTTTCAAATATGTATGTATTTATCTATATAACATATGTATGTAATTTATGTATATGTAATAGGCCTGTGGGGACCATGAGGTAAAATATGTCATGACGCCCTTCACAAAAACAAAGGGGGTCACATGCAAGGGATAAATTTCTCCTTCAAATGACAGATCAGATTATAGAAACTCCATAGGTTGCAGAATGACCTTGTTTGAGGGAGACACAAAACTGCCAGGATACGTGTCCAGCTCTGGTCTCCGTTCCCTCCCCTTGGGTTTAGTGACAAAACTTCTTTCTAATTGTAGCACCAACATGATTTTACCCCATCTTTCCCAATTCTGAGTTACGGTGGTTCTCGTTGATATCACTAAAGCACATGTTCCTATTTTTTACGTTGCATTTCTGAAAATCCAGGCCAATTTGTTTTCCCAAATACTCTTTGGGAAATATTGAAGTCGTGAGACACACACTGCACACGTTGATCAGAATATCTCCAGACCACTCATTTATGTAAAAATGTTAAGAAATGTTAGTTAAGTTAAAGTTAAGTTAACTTAACTTAAAAAAGTTAAGTAAAGTTAAGTTAAAAGTTAAAGTTAAGTTAAAGTTAAGTCCTTCCAACACTTTCTTAGGGTATCCTCAGAATTTGTGGAACAAATCAGCATTGTAAATGATTTGTTGCGCAAGGGCAATAAAGTTGTGTGCAAGAAGCCACTCTGATGTCACTTCATAACTGGTCTCATCTTTTCCTATGTTGTCAGAAAATAAATACAACTGTGCAATTGTGCTGTCTCTGGACCCTTTTCAACTGCTTTTTAGCTGGCTTTTCAAAGGTCCAGGTACTTTTTTACAGCGGAGCTACGTGGTTATGGTCCAAGGTATGATTCTGAAAAGAGGGTCAAGCCATCGTATTTTAAAACCAAAGCAAAGATCAGGGAGAAAAGAGGATCGTTTATTTCTCTTTCTTGCCGCAGAGCCATCTGGATGCTATTACCTCTTTTCTTAGATCTGTTGTTCCTAAGTTTTTTCTTAAGGCCATTATCATGGGATCTAAGAACAACCTGTGAACTTGAGGGCTGGATAAAGTTTCTAGACAAACTGGCCAGTAAATCAGGATGTTTTGGGCAGAACAGGGAT